ATTAAAGCATGCAGAAGACCCAATGAAAAACACATTACATAATAATATGCTACTGGTATCTCATTTACCCACTTTATAGTCGGTCACAAAAATAGGAGTAAACATCAATTTGAAATTTGGTGAATGGACTTGATTCCTGGTTAACGTACAGGATATAATATACCCTTTGCATATATGGTTAATTTTACTGGTTGTGTTACAGTACATTTAGAGAAGTTTGGTATTGGTATATATTTACTACCCATGGTGCAGTACATAATGGTTAGAAATACATTCTCCTAATTTTCTCTATGAACTTAGAAAACACTACTGAATTAATAGCACCAGCCACTAAGGGACCCGAATTCCTTACTATTCACATTTACATCTGTGCTCTTTTCACGCTACTCACGGCGTCTCACCTTCCATTCTTTTCTGGGGGGACTTTGGGAACAGGGTGGGGAGAGACCTGTCTCAGGCTGCCCAAGTGCTGGGGCACAGACCCAACCCGGACTCTCCCGCGTGTCACCCGGCATAGGCACACAGCACCTCATGGTCTGGGTCCCACAGACCCAGTGCCCAGGCATCGGCCTGATGTTGGCTAGGCTGGATTCCGGAACCAGATCTCTCTCCCCTGGCCCTCCTCCAGCCCTTTCCCTCCCCTTCAGTCACCACAAGTCCTTGCCCCAGGCGGCCAGACTCCGTTCAAACAGAACTTCCTGAGAAAGGTGATACTACAGCACAAACCCAGCCTAAGAAAGCAGCCCTGAAGCCACAGCGGTTCAACCAGCCAAACTGGAAAATCACAGGCTGCAGCTTCCTCAGAACCCAGAGGGGTGCTGCTGAACAGTAGCCTTTAAAACAAAAGGTCTAGAGACCAGGGACAGGTATACTCAGGGAAGACCAAGGATAAGCAGGAGAAAATCAACCCATGGGTGGCCCCTTGGTGGCATATGTGTCACCCCTAGCTGCCATGCAGAATGGAAACCAAAAGTCCCTGCGTGCAGATGTCTATGTAGGACAGAACATGGTCTCCTTGCCTGGGCAGGCAGCACAGGTCACATGAGGCCCTTTCAGAAGTTGCCAAGTTGATCAGTAGGAACTGAGAACAGGTGATGGTGTGGAGTTTGATGTTGGTGCCACCGGAGGGTGGAGGTGGGGGGAGGAGGGGAAGAGAGAGAATGGGCTGAGGTTCCTTCCTGCCCAGACACTACCATAGCCATTGACTGGTCTCCTGCTGCAAGTCTTAACCCTTCTTCCAGCCAACACCCTAAGTGCCATTTTTACCACGTCATTCCCCTGCTCAGAAACTTCTTATACTATTGTAAAGGCTCAAATTCCACCCCCTCAGCCAGGCCCTCAATGCGTCTGCCTTATTCACTCAACATTTAATTGAGGTTGTGCCTGACCCTGTACTAGGACTATGAAAACAAAGAGGAATCAGATTTGGTCTCACCCTCAAGACACTAAAAGTATAGTTTGGGAGACAGAGGTAAACAGAGGAATGTTCTCATTCTTCTCCTAAAAACCCCTTTGTGTTCCAGCCAGACTGCCCAGAGTTCCAGGAACACCCACTGAATTCCCACCTCTGTCGTCTCCATCTGCTCCTTCCCTACAGGAACTGAAAAGCAGCTCACATTGCAAGGCCTGGCTTCCCCTCCGCCTTGAGCCTTCCCTGCAGCTTCTGGTCCACAGGACTCCTCCCCTTCTGCGACCTCCTCCAGCACCTGCTTGTAGCAATGGTACTCAAACGGTCCTCTCACCACTCACTGGCTGCCTCTTACATCATGGTTTAGCTGCTGATAATGACTGTAAGACCTTCATTAATAGTAACGATCCCAATCATCATGGATCCCCTATCTTCGAAGAACGCCTCACAAAGTGCTCACAGATACATTATCTTGTGGCCAAGGCTCTTTGGGCCTCCCCAAGCAGATTACAGGCTTCTGTGGGCAGGAAAAGGTAGACTGCAACCCATCTCTAAATGCCAGGCACAGTGCTTTGTAGAGAACATTAAGGCACTGGCTGCCCATCTCTGCACCACATCTGGGTCAGCACAGCTGCATGGGAAAGGCATGCCAGTGGCACAGGTCCAGCTGCAGGGCCACCTGCCCACCTACTGACTAGAAAGAAGAGAGGTGGTCAGTGCCTCACTGCTCCCTGGCAGGCCAGTCTCTGGAATGTTACAGGCTCTTACAGGAAGTGGCATAAATAGTAAATCACAAAAGTGCCAGCCTACGTGATATCAACATGGTCCAAGTGTCTGAACTCTGTCTTAGCACTACTCGGTGAGTTGCCTCATTGTCCCCATTCACAAAAGAAGCTCCGAGAAAGGTGCCCAGATCAATGCCCAGCAAGGAAAAAGAATGTACCTTAAACAGGGAGCAGTTCGATAGAGGTGGCTACGTGTATTGTGTGTCTTGGAATCTCTAGGTCTCAGCACCGACCCTACCTACAGGACACGTGCAGATCTTTAACTGGATAAATTCATGAATATGACTTGGTAGCACCCATCTTCTCGGCTCCTTGATTTGTCCCCTGGCTGCCCCTTCCACCTCCGTGGAAAACTTTCTATATCCAGAAAAGGAGAAAGCTTTTCCTGATCATCCCCCTCCTTCCCCAAGTCTTAGTTAATACTGAAAAACACGCCCAAGATGAGGTAGAATAAGCATTCAACAAGAATGCATTTAAGAAACCCAGTGGGCAGATTTTAAAAGGCTGATGTGAAGAAAGAGGGTTTTTTCTTTCCCACAGAATCCAAAATCCTCAACAGCCCTCTGCATCCTGGGGAACGGGGGACCCAGCCAGCAGACACAGAGAAAGACTAGGAGAGCTGTCTTCAGGCTTTAAGTCAACACACCAAGGGCTTTGTGGGGACGGGAAGGCTAGGGTGCTGCAGAGGCGACCCTACCCAGTTCTGTTTCACCTCTACCCACAAAGCGGTTGGCCCCAGAGGGATTCTGAGGAAGTCCCCGTGACCTGTGAGGGAAAACTATGAATTTACTGATCTAGCTGGAAGAAATGTCTAAGATAGGAGAAGACAAGGTAGAAGAGACATTAAGGAGAAGGGCTGGTAAATAGCAATACGAGGGTCAGGGACTTAAGGAAAGCTTCTCACAAGCCTCAGAAGGGTTGTTTTGGTATTTCAGAAACAGCAGTTCCCTCATGTGTCTGTGGGAAAGGGGGACACATCTCCTAGGGCAGCTAACTCCCCCATAACACGGAGCAGGAGCCCAAGAGCTTCTGAAGTGAGGAGGCAGAGCAAAGCTCTCCAAGGAAAAACCTGGGTCACTCCTGGGACTTGAAATGTGGTCAGGATGCCAGGGTGAAAACTACTGGTCTTCAGGCAAAAGCCAGGGGTCCCCAGACAGCCCACCATCCACTGTGATAGCTCAGCAGCTCCTGGTACCAGGCCCATCCCAAAAATAACCACTGCAAGTTTCTTTAAGTGCTAAGCTGCTGCCCTTTGTCCCCACATCCGCACCTGTCCTCATGTCCCATCTGGTTCCTCAGCCTCTCCCTTGCTCACTCCCAGGCCTTTTCTACGGCCTCCGCTTTCCTTGGAGCCTTCCCCAGGGGCACGCAGCCCTCTCCAGGCCTCTGCGCTCTACCCATCCCTCTGAGATGTCTCTCCTCCAAGCTCCTGGACCCCTAGGAGCCTGCCTTACAGCTTCTCTGGGAAAAATGAAAGTGTCTGTTCCCTGACCTTACTAAATCCCTTGAAGATAACAAAGCAAAGAGAGAATGAGCCCTAGGTGGTCAACGATGATAACAGCAAACACCAGCATTATCTAAGTTCCACCATGTGTTTGTGCTCAGTGCTTTTACAAACAGTATCTCATTTATTCCTCACAACACCTTGGCAGGTAGGTACTATTATTATTCCCATTCTACAGGGGAGAAACTAGAGGTCAGAAGCTTAAATGATACTCAAGGTCATGTTGCCCCAAAGTGAGGGCTTCAGGTCTGTCTTGACAACAAAGACCGTGTCTTAAACCCGAGCCCCTTTCCTCCTGGCTCTACCTGCTCCCTCTTCTCTCTTGGCAAGAAGTGTGTGTTGGGAGGGAGGGTGGAAGCTTCAAGTGCTAGGGGCCCTGTCTGGCAGGAGGGGGCACCTGGGCAGTGCTGAGGCTACTCCAGCCATCATTCAGGGAACCTGTCACACGTGGGTGTAATTCCTTCAACTCAGACATCCCAGAGAAGGAGCCCCCTCAGAGGTGAGGCCACCTCCTGCCAGAACAAGTGATCCCATCACAGTGCTGTCTGGGTGCCACCAGGCCTTGTTCCCACAGGCTCCAGCACTGCCAGATCAAAGACATGTATTCTAAGGTGGGTCCTGCCTGCCTTCTGACCCCGTCTGGACAGTCAGTCCTGAGGTCCTCAGCCTCCTTCGAAACGGATGCTTCAGCCAGCTGCTGTTCCGAGCGGCTGTGAGTGTCCCCTCCTCAGACCATTGGGCCTCACCTTACCTGGCCCTCCTCCAGGTGTCCCACCCCGTGGCTTACCTTCACAGCTGTGCCCTGGAAACCCAATCCCTTTGGCCCCTCCCTTCCTCCTTTCTCCCATTCCAGGCTCCACCGTGGGTCACCCCTGAACTGGGGGAACCCCGTGACTCAGTGACTTGGCTCTCCACCCTGAACTCCTCTTCTCGAGCAAAGGCTTTAATTTCCACCCTCTCCACCTGGGGGGGTGAGGGGGTGGGGGGTGTCATTTCAGTGGCTAAGGTCCCCAGGCCTACACCCTGCTCTCGGCTTCCAAGAGAAGGCTCCCCAGCGCGAGCCTGGAGAGCCCACCTCTAGTCACGGACAGCAGCAGGGACCCCTCACCTCCAGGAACGGAGGCTCAAGTCCCCAGCCGGTGGCCCGTCACCCCAGGATTTATGCCCTAGCCCTGGCCTCTCGTATCCCCGCCTTCGGCCAGTGAGGTGAACAATTCCTCCCGGGCTAGGCGGGAAGGGGAAGGGGCCGCCGGGCAGGTGGCGGCGGCGGGGAGGGGGGCGCCCCTCGGCCACCGCCCCTTACCGATGGTGGAGATGTGCGAGGAATGGAACTCGTTGTCGGTGAAGCGGCACAGCAGGCAGGTCTTGCCCACCCCGGAGTCCCCGATGAGCAGCAGCCGGAACAGCACGTCGTACTGCTTCGCCATGGCTGGGCCAGAGGAGCCCGGGGCTGCGGCGGGCGGCGGCGGGCTCAGTCCCGCTCCGCCGCTGCCATCGCGGAGCGCGCCTGCCGGGGACGCCGCGGGCGGCGAGGGGGAAGGCGGGCCGGCCCCCGCGCCAGCCTCCCGCTCGGCGGTGCCGGGAAGCGCGGTGCGGCGGGAGCGCGGTGGGAGGAGAGAGCGGCAGCCCCCGCCCGCCCCTTCCCCTGCGCCGCCGCCCGGAGAGGGGCGGGGAACGCGCCCGAGAGCCGCGACCCCCCGGCGGGGGCGAGGCGGCGCGCGCTCCCCTCCCGCAGGGTGCGCCGCCCGGGAGGGCCCAACTCCCTCTGCACCCCACCCAAGCCCTTTGTGCCGGGAACCAGACCCCGGGGGAAACAGCTGGGTTTTGCTGTGGACCTTCTGAATGGGTGAGTTGGAGTGAGCTCCCATCCAGCCCACCTCTACCAAACTCGGCGTTTAGGGCTCATCTTGGTTCTCCCCAAATCCCATCCCGAACCTGGCGCTGACAACCTGCCAACTCCGCCTCCCTCCCCCGACCCCACCCCCGCGTAAGCCTGTTGGCGGTGGTTTGTGAGGGGCGCCCAGTGGCTGGTCCTCACCTGGGTTCATCCCAGGTCGGAAGGCCTTGATCGGGGTCTGGACTCAAACACTGAAGCCGGGATCTCCAGGAACACTAGAGTGTTGCTAGAATTCTCCCTCTCTGCCATCTGGCTTCCCCATAACCATGTGTGACTGTGTCTGCCCTCTTCCGTCCTCCCCCATCCCAGTTTTTCTTTAAACAGGGAAAATTGGTGACCTCCTTCACCAGGCTGAAAAGATAAATGATCATAAAAACATTTCCAAATGCAAAACCCTTTGGAAGTGTTGTGCAGGCAGAAGTCTCTGTTTTGGGTCTAAGCTGCTTAGGGTAGGTGCTCAGGATGCCAATACATTATTTCAAACCACTAAGTATTTCTGCTAGTGTACATAATGGCACCAAGGAATGAATGGGCCTCTTTCAAGATCTAATTTACTACCGCTGAATGCGTTAGCACTGAAGAGAGGCAAATAAATGTTCTCTGGAGTCTAGAAAATTGCCTATTCCTAAGAATGAGTATTAGGGGAGTCTGGTCCATTAGATCTTTAAAAAGTGATGAAAAAGTGTGTGTGTGTGTGTGTGTGTGTGTGTGTGTGTGTGACTGTTTTCAGGCTGAGTATTGGATGGAGAATGTTTTTCAGGAGTAGGTCAAGGAAAGCAGTAAGTCCATTTACTTGAAGAGTTATATTTCAGGCAATGTGTCAAAATGTTTATAAAGAAGGAAAAAATCCTGAACCTGATAGCTACTTTGATTACATTAAAAGCTAAGGAAACTGATCCTGTGGATTCCATTAAGATTTCCGGGTATTTCTCTTCTCTGGATATGCACTGGGTTTTTGGTTGTGCTGAGGGCTCTGCCATTGGGCATCCTCCACTCACCAGCTATGCAACCTTGAGCATGTTGCTGAACCCCTTCGCCCCAGTTTCCTTATCTGTAAAATTAGGATATCCTCACAGGATTATTGGAAAGATAAATAAATTGTAGAAAGGGCTCAGCCAGTGTGGCTCAGTGGTTGAGCATCGACCCATGCACCAAGAGATCACCAGTTCCATTCCTGGTCAGAGCACATGCCCAGGTTGTGGCCCCAATCCCCAGTGGGGGGGCATGTAGGAGGCAGCCAATCGATGTTCTTTCTCATTGATGTTTCTGTCTCTTCCTCTCCCTTCCTCTCTCTCTAAAAATCAATAAAGAAAAATATATAATAGTAATAAATAATTTGTGGAAAGGACTTAGCATAGTACTTGACACAGTACTCAATAAATGCCAAGGGAAAAAACCACCCTATAATGTTTTCCCTGTGTGTAATGTGGCTGTAAATATATCCCCCAGATGGCCAGGGATGTTTTCCAGGACTCAGGCCTCTCCTGCTGTGATTTTCCTCCACAGGACCGCACCAGTACTGAGTGCAGGTTCAACTGGCCTGACCCCATCTGGGCACTGCAGCGGCCTTCCCATTCATTGGCACTGTCATGTACATGCTCTCCACAGGCCTCCTTATTGGGGCCATTCATGGCCCTCTGCTTGCTTCTGTCTGGGGAAATAGAAAAGAAGTTGCAACTGAAGGTGAGTTCTTAGTTCAGGAAAGAACTTGACTTTGAAGGAAATGGCTTTCCCTGAGCAAGACAGGAAAGTAAGTGAGGTTTCCTGAACAAATCCAGGGAAATAAATGCTCAGACTGATTTAAAAAAAAAAAAAAAGGAGGCTATTTTATCATTCTGGGCTCATTTCAAATTCAGTAGCTTACATTGCTTAAGAAAGAGGTGGGGGGGGGGGGCAGGAGAGAACATGGAAGCTCCACACACTTTCCCTACACTTTGCCCCAATGCATTTCTTTTTTTTAAAAAAAAATATGTCTTGCCCTGGCCGGTTTGGCTCAGCGGTTAGAGTGTCGACCTGCGGTCCTGAGAGACCCGGGTTCGGTTCCCGCTAAGGGCATGTACCTCGGTTGCAGTTTGTCCCCAGCCCTGGTCGGTCGTGCGGGTGGCAGCCACTCGATGTGTTCCTTTCACATCGATGTTTCTCTCTCTCTCTCTGTTTCTCTCTCTCCCTCCCACTCTACCTGAACAAAAAAATGGGAAAATGTCCTCGGGTGAGGATAAAAAAAAACAATATTTAAAAAAAATATGTCTTGCCCTGGCTGGTTTGCGTAGTGGTTAGAGCATTGGTTCGTGGACCAGTGATCTTGGGTTTGATTCTGGTCAAGGGCACATACCTCAGTTGTGGTTTGTCCCCAGCCCTGGTGAGGGTCATGTGGGAGGCAACCAGTCGATGTGTCTCTCTCACAGCCATGTTTCTCTCTCTCTCCCTCCCATTCTATCTGAACACAAATGGAAAAATATCTTTGAGTGAGGATTTAAAAAAATATATATATATATATGTATATTATATAGAGAGAGAGAGCGAGAGAGAGAGAGCACTGTTGATTTTAAAGAGAGAGGGAGAGGGAGATAGAAACATTGATGAGAGAGAAACATCAACATCAATTGGCTGCCTCCTACAACCCCCAACTCCACCCCAGTAGGGACCGAGCCCAAAACCCAGGCATTTGCCCTGACGAGAATCAAACTGGCAACTTTTCGGTGCATGTGACACCCAAACACTGAGCCTCACCAGCCAAGCTGCCCCAGTGCATTCTGTCTGGCTGTTCCTGAGTTATATTCTTTTATAATAAACCAAAGATCTAGTCCATATGTAAGGGAACAGTCTAGAAGTCCAAGCTTCTAGATTTTCCATTATCATCTTGGTTCAGCTACTTGAAAGATAGTTCTGAAGAGCCATCATACAGAGATCTCTTTTTCTCTTTCTCATGTGTGTGCATGTGTGCACATATGAACATACTCTGTGAGATGTTGGAACTGAGATTTTGGGACAATGTTAGCGAAAGAACCACATGAACTACTACTAGAGAAAACAAAGTTTGTTTTAACTAGGGTCTTTGAAAATGAAATACCTAATTCCATCATCCCTTACCTCAGCTACACAGTGAGACATTTTGGCACCCTTTCCAGTTGAGGTCAACTTGGATTGGGGCAGATTTCAGTAGAACTGGGAGACATCTGAGGAATGGTTGCTGGATGTCTCTCCCGCAAGAAGCCTCCAAGCATGTCTCCCAATTACATTGTTCTGATTCTTATACCAGGGAGACAAGTGCCTGCCCAGCTCCCTGCCACCCCCAGCCCGGCCTCCAAGGGCACCACTGTGGGATCTATCATAGCAACCACTGGATAACTGGAGAGATGAACCGATAGGCAGCTCCCTGCCGAAACTCAACACGGTCAGGCTGTGGGACTCCTTAATGGCAAAACCCTGTGCCTCTTCTAGACTCATGCCCATGCTCTCTACTCTGGGTGGCAGTAAGTGATGAAAGGATTTCTACCTTATTGTGGGATTAGAAGAAACAGGACAGGCTCCCAGCACCATCTCAGTGCTGTCCTCAATCCACATCCTTTTTCTTTTCTCTTATATAGAGAGAAGGGAGAAAAGAGACTCTGAAATGATAAGGAAAGAGGGGAGAGGGCACGTTGTCAGAGACTTTTGCATTCTGGGGCTGGGGACAGAAGGAGACAACTCTGATGATAATTTGTGTTAACACAAAATGACCCACAGTACCATTTCAGGTTGTCCTTGGTGTCCGGCCCCCACCTTCATGACTGTATTAGTTTGCTTGGGCTGACATAACAAATGATCATAGACTGGATAGCTTAAACAACAGATTCATTTTCTCACAGTTCTGGAGGCTAGAAGTCCACGACCAATGTGTTGGCAGGGTTGGTTTCTCCTGAGGCCTCTCTTTGGGCTGCAGGTGGCCATCCTGTTGCTGTGCCTTCTCATGCCCGTCCTCTGTGCGTGTGCACCCTGGTGTCTCTTCCGCTTATGGGAACAACAGTTATGTGGGATTAGGGCCCCACTCTTAGGACTCCATTTAACTTGAATCACCTCTGTAATAAAGGTCCTATCTCCAAATAAAGTCACATTGGAGAGTAGGGCTTCAGTATATGAATTTGGGGTCGCATTTTCTTTATATTCAAATGTTATGTGCCTGTTTGTGTCCTAATTTCTTCTTTTTAGAAGGACACCAATCACATTGGATTAGGGCCCACCCATAAGATCTCACTTTGCCTTCATTACTCCTTTAAAGGCCCTAACTCCAAAAATTCATTCAGTCACATTCTGAGGTATGTGACTGAATATATGAATTTGGGGTGGGGTGGGGGGCACAATTCAGCATATGACAAGGAACAAACCCAGGAGCCTCATCACATCTCTCCTGTGCACAGATCTGACATGCAAGAAGGATGGAAGAGAATGCCTGCCAACCAACAACTGGGAAAGACCCACCCCAGGTCCCTCACACATCAAGATTGCAGGCTTTCTCTCTTACCTAAGTAAATCCCTGAGACCTCCTCTAAGATTGGCTTGTAGACAGTGGGGAGGAGAGGCTCTGTAGGGAAGATGAAACTTTGGGACAC